ACACATCTCCAGCCCAGGCCCTGGGAGCACCAGGAAATGGAGAGGAGGGCAGCAAGGGGCCAGGGTGCCAGGCAAGTTCCTCCGGAGCCGTTCTGCCCACACGCCAGCTCGTTTCTCCCACTCGCACATCCGCCTGCCATGGAGGCAGCTCAAAAGGCCTACAGCAGCTCCGCCCCCATCTCTTGGGAGAGCCTGGGAGCAGGCCTGTCTGCCTCACCCACACCAGGGGCCCAAGGGCCTGGAGCAGGGCCCAGCACAGAGGTGTCCACTAAGTACGATCCCCGCGGGCTGCAAGTGGTCCCCTAAGCCTGGCTGTGCTGGCTGTGTGGAGGCTGAGGGGAAGGCACTCCGGCTCCTTCCCAAGGCAGCAGTCTGGGGTGCCGAGGGCAGAGCCTGCTTCTCCCCCAGGTGACTGGGACGTCCTGGCAGGTTTGGATTCCAGGGAGCAGATCATTCATAGCTCCTGTCCCTGTGATCGGAAGGGAAGGGCATGCTTGGAGACAGGGGAATGGCCTTGATGACCTTGCAAGGTCCTTTTGGACCACTGAAGCCAGGGGACCCAGTATTTCTGTGGGCGATGCCTCCGGGATGGAGGGGGAGGAGGAGGCCGGGTGGGCGGAGGTGGGTAACGGGATCTGATGCCCAGGAGCGGTGACTCAGGCCCTCAGCACCATGACAGCGTGTCTGCATTTAGCCACTGGCTCCTGTTTCCCTGGCGTGCCATGGGCTCCTGGGCCTCCACCCCCAACCCGCTTCCCAGCTCGCCTCAGTGCTAGTGACTTCTCGGCAGCCCTACTAGAACTCAGTTGGCCAGACACGGGCAGGGGTGACTGACCCCTCTTGTAGCCACCACCCCAGACCCTAGTGGTACCCTGAGCCCTGCCCCATCCCACTTCACAAACCACCACCACCAGTAATACCCCATGGGAGTCCTCACGGCTGAAGCTCCAGGCTGGGCTCCCTGGATGCCAGTAAAAAGAACCCTCAGTCTGCTGGGGAGACAAGGTGAACCCTGCTGTCAGTGAATAGGGGAGAGGGGACACAGCAAAGACACAGACACGGGAAGATCATGCCACATGGCCAGGTACTGGGGGGTGAGCAGAGGCAGCCCCTGGTATGGGCAAGAGCAATCAGAAAGGTCTGCGTGGGGGCGAGGGAGCCTGAGCTGACCTGGACAGGTGGGGCAGGAGAGTGGGCTTGCACTGCAGCCTGGGCACAGCCCCGGCCTGCCCGCCTCCTGGAACGGCCTCCCCTGGTTCCCGCCTACTGGACTGGCGGGATGTCAGTACCAGCTCTGCTGACCACTGCGTGGCAGAGAGGGGCTTCTCAGGGTCGTCTGGGTCAGCCTATCTCCATACGCACATGTTCAACTCACCCAGGCCTCTGGAAGGCTTTGAATTAGACATGTCTGAGTTCTGATCCCAGCTCTGACACTTGCATGATGCAAGCCTCTCCCTTTCTATGCAGCTCTGTTTCCCACCTACACATGGAAATAGGAGCCAGGTGCTGGTACACTGATAACCAAGCTGGATCCAAATAGAAAAGATACTGGGTTCACATCCTGGGACCTCCCTGAGTGCACTGGGGTGGCTGAGACTGAGGGCAGATGGCTACACGGGGACCCCGCAGGGTACCTGTCTCTTGTCTCTGTCTCTCTGGGGTCGATGAATAATACTTCTTCCTTCCAAGCAATGTGGGAATCAAATGGGCTCATGCTAGGAAGCTTACAGCCAGGAACCCACAGCCAGGAGTCAGAGCTAGAAAAATCATCTTCTGGAATTCTCTTTTAGCCTGAAATTTTGCCCACTGTAGTCCTCGGTGCCCCTCCAAGCCAGAGGTCAAGTGGACAGCACTGAGAATATAACCTCCCAGATCTTTAAGGACGATTACCGACTTACCTGACCTGCTCCCCTGAGTCTGGGCCCAGCCCCAGCCCAGCCTCAAGGTGCCAGCTTTCTCCTCTCTGGGTCCCTAAATGTCTTGAGAGTCAGGGGGTAGGACAATCATGAAATCTGGGTCCCTGTGGGAGCTGGCAGGGGGACAGATGTGCATGGTACACTCCCCTTGGGGAAAGGGGAGCTGTCTCAGCCTTTCCGAAGACAGCTGCCCACAGGATTTGCCCTTCAGGTCACACAGAGGGTTGAACAGGAAGGGTCCTCTGCCCACCGCATCCTCAAGGAGCTTGCAACCTGCTGGGGGAGGCACAGCTCTGGGAAGACCAGTCTGAAGGAGGGACACGGTCCTTAGAGAGCCCCCAGGCTGACAGAGGAGACAAGAAACAAGCAACAGCAAACCGCAAGGTCCTGGGCCAGGGATGGCAGCTGTCGGAGTGGCCAGGGGACAGAATCCCTGCGCACACACATGACCCCACCCTGCCCTGCTGTGCAGAGGCCCCTGGGGCCTGAGCGATAGGCCTGGAATGCCGGGCTGTGAGCTCAGCCCTGCCGGCCTGCGTGCGTCGGCTGTCAGCGGTGCCGGCTCACAGAAGAAGATTTCCAGCCCCCTCCGGGCTACGGAGAGGCCTAAATTTAGCTAGTAGACAAGGGGCTGGCCACGAGCCCAGGGACAGTCGGGCCTTATAAAGCGCCAGCAGTCGGGGCCCGGCACACTCCCCACGAGGCCAGCGCCCACGCCCCTCTCCTGTCCAGCCCCTGCCCGCCTGGACAGGGCCCCGGCCCGCCCGTGAATGAGCCACAGGACCTCCTCCACCTTCAGAGCGGAGAGAAGTTTCCATTCCTCCTCCTCTTCTTCCTCCTCTTCCTCTTCATCCTCGGCCTCCCGCGCCCTCCCAGCCCAGGACCCACCCATGGAGAAGGCCTTGAGCATGTTTTCCGAGGATTTTGGCAGCTTCATGCGGCCCCACTCGGAGCCCCTGGCCTTCCCAGGCAAGTGCTTAGAGCTCTGAGAGGGAGGGGGGTTGCACAGGTAGGGACATCACTCCAGGGCACCACCCAATGCCCTGCGGCTGCTGATCTGCCAAAAACAGGTGCCACACAGCCGGCAGCCACATGCGGCCACCAAGACAGCTATGGCCATGAAGAAAGGTGGGCCTCTGAGAAACAGAGACCCTATTCTGCTGCGGTTTCCCTGGCCAAACACAGCTTATAACCATGGTCAGGGCCCAGCTAGGGCTCTGGAGGACGGGGATGGGGTGGACGGGCGGGAGGCATCCCGTGTCTCCAAGTGTGAGGCGGGGCTGTAACAGACTAAGTACACACCTACACACAGGCACACCTGTGCAGGGCGAGGCCCCATTCCCAGCACAGAAAAGGGGGCCTGCCAGAGTGGCAAGGGGCCTCCCCTACAATTGAGGGGCAGTCAGCAGCCCCTTGTGTAAGAGAAGGAGCCAGAAGCCCCGCCCCGTGCCCAGCTCACGGCAGCCCTCCCCACAGCCCGTCCCGGGGGGCAGGGCAACATCAAGACCCTGGGAGACGCCTATGAGTTTGCAGTGGACGTGAGAGACTTCTCCCCCGAGGACATCATCGTCACCACCTCCAACAACCACATCGAGGTGCGGGCTGAAAAGGTGAGCCTGAGCCCCCACCCCCAGGCCCCCTGTCTAGCCTGAGCCCCCACCCCCGGGCCCCCTGTCTAGCCTGAGCCCC